TCGTGTTTGAAAAAGAAATAAATCTCACGCCACCCCATCCCCATTAATTATTCAATTCAATGCACCCCCTCCCTATAGATTATTCTGTTTAATTCAATTCAAATTCGTAGAGAAAAACCCCGCGGAGGAAAACTAAATAAATTCGCATTTAGATAAACAGCAACAACGACAAAACAAAACAAAAACACCTTTGGAATTATACAAGAACAATTCGTGATCCAAACGCCGTGAATGAAGTATATCCAAACTCGTTAAGATGCTAATCTCATCAGTTCATTAATCCAAACTTATCTCCGTAGAAAAAGAGAGGAATTGCTTTTCTGGAGAAAACTAATGTGTGCCGATCATTCTCCCTCATTCGTCACATACACTATAACAGTTTATAGAAGAAGAAAAAATACCTTCTAATCGAAAACAAAGGCAGAGAAATCGCAGTGTGCATCCGAAACACGCGAGCTGCAGCTCCGTGCACGAGTGTGACGGGTTGCGAATGACGTCACGTGGAAGAAGGGAGGGCGGTGTTGCGTACGCGTTTGAGAGGGTGGTGCGTAACCGTCTAGCGCGATGCCAGCGCCCCAATCCATCAGCGGCGCGCGCGTGAAGCACGGCCACTCGTGGGGCAGCGGGTGACACTTCAGACCGAAACACGGCGAAGCGACGTGTTCGTATTGAGGATTTACGAAGGCTTTTATTAAACAGAACATTTATTGTAAACCTCAGTTTCCTAGCCAGTTCAAATACTCGATGAGAGTGCGACAGGACGTATCTCTACCATTACAAGGTTCACATCTAAAATAACACTGTGGTTTACCCAATATGTTGATATTAGGGGCTACAAGTCTACTGCACTTATCGTAGATAAAGTAAAACAAATAAATCAACAAGAAGAAATAAACATTTAATTTAATTTTGCTCCTGAATGTTGGCCACCGGTTCTCTAGGTTATTGGAAGTCATAGTCACCCATTTGAGATAGTGCAGTTTCATTTATGGTTCGTCAAAGTCCAAAACACGCTGCAGAATTTAATTAATCTACGGATATTACTGTAAAGATTATCGAATGCTGGTTACTTTTTAAATTACCACACACGCTACCATAATGTTTAATTGTATCATGAACATTATTGAAAATTAAATTTTTCCACTCGATGTTTTGAGCATACAGGTGTGATTTCATTGTAATTACTACAGCAATGACCACAATTTAATTTAGCTTTGTATTCTGAATCCTACTAAATCGTATACTATTTTGTACTATCTTAAAAAGTGAACAAAAGTTAAAACAGTTTTATTTGTTAAACACTTTCAATGCCAAAGAGTATCACGTCCATTCAGAATCAGACAAAAAAAGATAATGCAAAAACAATAAAACAAACTAAAAAGATCTTAAATGAAAGGTAATATAAAGTAGGTAATCAATGAGTGGACATGAAAATTTATCATGATTACCATATTATAGAATCTAATCAACGATTTTATATATATGTAAAATCACGCGATAAAAAAAAAACATTTTACTGCAATTTCAGTTCTTCACAAACACACACACACACACACACACACACACACACACACCACGTTTGGGAGATTAGAAATCCCACAATATCAACTATTGTACAAAACATTCAATCCTGTATTTAATCAGTAGGTCTAAGATAGATGGGCATGGATCTCATTTCAATAATCTGTGTCGAAGACTCATGTTTCCGGTAATTACATAATTAGTTTTAATATAGTTCCGATACACAATTATACAAACGTGTGTGTTCCACAATTATATTTCTACATTTACAAACTTCCATGGAAACAAAAAGATTATACGACTTAACTGCTATACATCACGGCGCGATGTGATTTATTCTCCGATTAGATTAGATTAGATTTATTACTAATTCGGCAATTAAGATTGTAAACTTAGTGGCAGAATACACTAACGTTATATCACAGAATTTAACAACTTTACAAAAATTCCCTCTTACACTGATTATTCTGTTTGTCGGTGAGCAAATTTCAATGATCAGTATATTGCATGTCATTTCGCGGAAGATAGCGATGTAGCTTCCCGCTACAACGTGCCACCGCCCTAGGCCCCGCCGTTAAGCCCCTTCTGCAGCATTCGCCTGGTTTTGATACGTAAAACCGCGGGGAACAACTGAGCAGAGCACACTTTCAAAATGTTCCATCAGAACAGATTAATTCGGCTATGTAGCTGGCGTCGAATAGCGTCAATGTCAGGACACCCACCTTGGGACTTCCGGTCGAGATACCGCAGTGGAAGCAGTACTAGCCCTCAGACATCTAAGGCGGTTGTTGTACTTTCAAAGGCTCAGTGCTACGCGAACGGCTTTGCGGTCCGTTTGCCCTTTCAGTCAGCGCGTGGGTGTCGCCACGCCCAGCGCAAACGTGTCGCGCCATTTCACGCCGCCGCGTTGCCCGTAGTCTTCGGCATCTCTTCCATTCACTCCAGGCTCCCAGAGTACTCCAATCTTCCATTCAAAGTCAATATGCGAAAAATAAAATCACTAAATTCATACGTCACACGCGAACACAGGTTTCGTCAATAATCTACATCTCATCTACATAGTAACTTTCACGGAGCAAAATATAGCATATGCATGACACATGATCACCAAACCCTCAGAATTTTAATTCAACCAGAATACGGTGTGTAGATTAATAAATTAATTAATTAGATTGATACTTTTGACTTGAACTAGAACGACATTTTTGAAAATAATTAAGAAAATAATCACATTAAATACAGAAATCCATTCCTAATTGTTCCAGAAACAGTGCGAGTGCTTACTGTGACGGTTACCAAGAACACCGCTTATACGACCACATCAGTTGTATGTATCATTCACACATATTTCGCATTTAATGCTTGTTTTCGAAAAATAACTTACGAAGCGTGATTTTGTAAAAACGGTTATTTGTTATGGACACTTAACTTATAGTGCGTACTTTAAAATCGCGTCCCCAGAATCGCAAAATTCACGTATGGGATTCAGTAGGCAATGAGGAAGAAAATGCATAATGGCCTGATTCAAAAATTGACATGCCAGTTTCATTGAAAACATTAAAGAAAAACTACTTACAAAATTCCTCCTTCCTCTACCACGTTGGCAACAGTTTCTGTAGAGAATAAATCAACAGAACGTTCATTTTCCTACTATCAATTTCTTTTGATGCTTGCAATAAATACTTATGAGATTTCAAGGAGTACATGATACTCCCACGAGGATACATCTTTCATTAAGCTGTGTTCAACTGTTTCCTTTAGTATCACATTACTATTCAAGTCTTTCCGATTTCATGGATTTGTAGTCTTCACCATACTTCAGTTTTTTAACCACAACATGAGAATGATTTCACATTTCGTTCCGTTATTTCCCTCATCCCACCCTCGTATCGTTTCCAGCTCAGAGTCTTTCATTTTAAATCAGCTATTGGATCATAGTGGGCAACGATCAAATTGCCACTTTCCACTAACATTAAAATTATTTCTGAAATAAAGAATCTGATTTAATTTTACATTTTCTAACTCTGTTATTACACCACTTATAATACATTACTTTAATCAGAAAATCAGGATCTTCTTGTGTGCTTCTTGTGTGCATTCATTGATACATTCAAAGATTCTGCCTAAAAAAACCTTACAACTCAGGCACTTTTCTTTGAAGCAGGAGAGACATGAGAATTCACTGCACCAAAATCGATATTTATCAGCATGTTTCCGCCCTGTATTTATCGTAACCATCAAAGCAAACTACGCGATAACCATTATTGGTGCAAAGTCTCAGGAAGAAGCCCCGGAGTCAGGCTCTGCTCCTGTTGACATACTGTATTGCTTGGAGTAACCATCAGCAGATAATCTACATTGAAGGATGTTTATGGTAGTAGCTAACTCTCAGGAATGAATAGGATGCAAATGATTTGGTGTTAATTCCGGTATCATGGAAAGCAACAAACATCGTCCATTAGCTTTACAAGACCTACAAATGTATGTATTACAATTATCTTTTAGAATATGAGGAATGAATCAAATAAACACAGAGTAAAATAGAAACAATCTTATATACATTTCCGTCTCACGACCTCACCCGCTATCCGCTTCGAATCTAGTGAATAATAAACGAACATTTTGCATCACATACGCGTATTTCACGTTTCCTTTCGATCTTGGAATTCTATATTCCGTTATAATGCAATTTCTGTGGCGAGAAAAATTGAAAATCGACGTTTGAAATTGAAACAAATATTTCACTCAATATGAGTGAACCATTTATAAATCAATGACAGAATGCTTCGTCTAAATTAACATTTTAAAATTTTATTACAGGCGATTCCTGTTTAATACGGCTGTGAAGACTCTGAGCGCCGGACATGATTTTGACGCAAAGAAAATATAAATACCAGAACGATAATGATGCCCATTGTCCGTTTCCTGAGGGACATGTTTGGTTTGGAGCATTCCTCAGAGTAGATCTCGCCTTTGACCACATGAATCAATTGTCTTGCCATTGAGCCTGGGGAATACTCCTTCGATTTTTTCTATGAACATTTTATCATACACACACACACACACACAATCGAGTATCGCTGCGTATCATCTCAGCCAGGTAAAATACTAACTACACGATTACCCACATCAGGAGCATCGTTGTTTCTGATGAACTATGACAATTTACAATCACGCCCCCTCTACGAGTCTCACAATGACGCCCCCTCTACGAGTAATAGTTGAAGCCAAGTATATTAAGTGTATTTGTTTTTATTAACACAAATGAGCAAATGCAAATAGTGAAACTGCCATAGAATTTAAAAATTATATTTCAATCTAATTTAAATTAGTTTTAGTTGTGAAATATAAATTTATTATGCGCATTTACAAAGTCTCGGCCAGTTAATTGGAAAACCACTTAAAGTTAGACAATTTATTTGCTTACAGATGTCACAGAACGCGACCTAAGCCAAATTTTTATCTGGGCATGCTCTTACCTTGTGCACAGCAACACTGTGGCCCGAGCGGAGACAGCACGAGGACAACAGCCAGAAGGCGCACCATTGAGCCGGGAATGGCAGGCAGGACGTCCGAAGCGGAAAGAAACCGCAGCCGCCGAACATCAGAAGCCGAAGGTCTCTGCTCGGACCCGGAAGCAATTCTGCCCCCGAAGGCGGCGTCTTCACTCGCCTCCCAGCGGCGTCGACTCATTTTGCTTCAACTCGACAGCTTCCTTTCCGATCACTTTCACACTCGATCTACCTCCGATCTAGAGCTATCCCACGCGCAGCGAATTCAACACACGGCACAGACGCGTCTATCACACCAAACGCCGCTTGAGATGGGGGTACGGCCGCAGTTGGTTCGAAAGTCGACGTTCGGTTGTTTTTTTCTCGTTCGGATCAGATGCGGCTCGGGATCCTCGCGGTACACGAGGTCGCTAACACAACCACTGTTCCGGAAACAGGATACACAGGTTGTCACTTCCGGAGGCCCCTCGACGCACAATGCCAGCGGTGGGCGTGGTCGGAGGGGCGGGGAGTGATTGTGGCGCTCACACAGGTCAGCGGAAATGCACCTCCGCCACTAAACGCTGCAGCGGAGCCTTTTAATCTCCCGCTCGCTCGTCTCCCTCCGAATCAATTTCCCCCCCTCCACACCGCAATGTTGAATGGAAGACACCACCACAATTCACTCCCGAATCGTTATCACGCAACTCACTCGCGAAACTCGAGACATCTCACACGCGCCTGTCAAGGTGAACGGGCGAGATGAGTAATAATAAAATCACGGTGTCCCACAAGGTCCTCGATGCGGGCTCTGGCGTACGGACGCACGCTCGCCCGCCCGCCCGGTCGCGAAAGCCGGCGCGTTCGCGGGCGACTGGCGCGTCGCGAAAATAGACCGCGCGCGACGCAGCCGGCGCGTGATGAGGTCACGCGGGGAAGGGGGCGGGGGAGGGGCAGTGTGGGCAGCACGAGGGTCCAGCGGAGAAACGGAGCCTGCGAGTCAAGGGCGGCGAGTGCGGCGAGAGCACGTGCGGCGGCGTCACCGCCGTGACGGTCTAGTTAGCGGCGGCGGAGGGGGCGGCGTGGGTGCGGGCGAGCGTCGCACGTCGGCGAGAGGCATCACGCGCGCGGGCGCGTCCGCGGAGCAGCACGTGCGCGGCGGAGGCGCAGGGCGGAGGCGGCGGCCAGTCGCGCACCGCGCGCGCGGCCCGGGCGGAGGGGGGGGAGCAGGCCGGTCGGGTAGCAGCAGCATGTGGGCGCGCCGCACGCGGCCCGGCCGGTACGCTAAGCTCTCGAGGCGTCCGCGGCAGGAAACGAGGTGGTCGCCACGGCACCGTCCGGGGGCGCGAAGCGGACGCCTGTTGCGACGCCGCCAACTGTCCGGAGAGGGCGCGGATCCGCGGCGTTTAATCCGTACCTGCCCCACCCCCTGCCAACTCCACCCTCGTGCGACCTTGCGTTGGCCCAACGCAGAAAGGTCATTGTTTATTGCAATCGTTAATTTGGCCAGGGTTTAACTAACATCTAAGAAGATCAGAGGAAAGGTAAACCCCGGAGCTTTCTTATTTTCTAATTACAATATACATTCGTTCTCTTTGATCAACACCTCGTTTTGTTTGGAGAACAGGGTCTTTGGAGTACACTATCGCCCAGTGGCCAACACATATAATAGAATTGTGTCCAACATCTAAAGAAATAGATACTTAGTCAACATACTACAGGGCATATAAATTATGATACTGTTCTTTTATTTTCTGTTTGTTTAGAAACGATAGGTAACACGGTCTAGATGTGGCGTTTTTGCAAAATAGTCATTCAATTTTGATCAAAATATACATACACTACCACTATTCAGATGAGGAAATGATTCGTTAAATTTTCATATATTTGTTTACCTTTTGTAGATGTTAAGAAACCGGATATTATTTTAAACTATTCCCAAACATACGGGGTTATTAAACACACTTTGTAGACAGATTGAAATAAAAGCCCGTTTTGCTCCGCTCCCAAACCACTCTAAAGATTTTCCGTTGGTGGTGTTTCCATTTGTAGGGTTAATGGGGCACGCGGACGACCTTGCACTGAACCAACGCACGAAGTTTATGTTTCTCTAATTTTTAAATTCTGTTTTTAATTTAACTTCGTTCAGGAAAGGTGCATTATTGAAACAAAATAAATTATCTCATAGACGTTGAAAAAAATTATCAAATTTCGTCCAATTTCTCTTTTTGTCAGAATTAGTGTGCTATTTCTGCTTTCAACATTTCTCCAAAATATTTAATTTAAAAAAAAAAATTAACCTACAAATAGCCCGATAGATCATGAAATTTAGATATAGCATCGCCGATCTATTGCGATATACATTAATTCTTAATTCAACGCGTTTCTTTTACTAACATATTTACTGCCCTGTTTTAAAGTCTTAACATGTTTTCTGTAACACGTGATATTCACAAATGATATTTTTAGATATTACTTTAGAGTGTAGTTCCCCTATTATGAACATGCACAATTTTTATTAATAATAATAATAATAATAATAATAATAATAATAATAATAACAACAACAACACCAACAAAGAACATTTCAAAATCACAAGAATCTACACAAGCAAATATCTGTTCTTCCTTTCGCATTTTGTCCACAACTTAGGCAATCGGTTTAGAAATGGATTCTGTCATTTTCCGAAATTAAGATTATTTTCCTACTACAGCTTTCTTACGAATGAGATGCAAAAAATCTGTATCATATTCGCTTTGGCGATCAGAAAAATGTCGATAAAAACACTTCACACTATACGTGCAGCCCATTCCGGCAAGTTAGTGCCATCATTGCTTCATTCTAACGTGAAAGACTAGTTATCATTAATTGCGAGAGAAAATTGCGATAATGCAAATGGAAAAATATTTAGGTGGTTGAGAGGAAGACCATCCCTTGTGCGTGCATCACACAAAACATATTATAATATAATAAAGACATAGTATACGTATTAGATGTGTGTGTGTGTGTGTGTGTGTGTGTGTGTGTGTGTGTGTGTGTGTGTGTGTGTGTGTGTGTGTTCGAGATCGATGGACCTCGCACACCGTTTGACTGGTCTCCATGAAAGTTGACACATCTACTTTTTTCACCTGTGTTAAGCTGTTCATTTTTGTAACTCCACTAGATAGTGCTGCAGCACGAGATGGCGCTTCATTTCAATTCAATTTCCAATCCACTTGGATTTCATTGCGTCTGGGCAATGCAGGGAGACGCGGTGAACAGTGGAGTGACGAGTGGCGGGAATGGAGAGGGGGAAAGAGGAAGTGGAGAAAGACGTAAAAGGGAGGGGGAGCAGTGAGGAAAACAGGCATTGCTATTACAATATAAAGGAGACTTCGACCTCTTCACAAATGTGAAAATATGGTTTATAAAATTCTACACCAAAAGCGCGTTTGACCGGCTTATTTGCAACGAGCTTGAGTTAACAATGTACTATTCATTCGTTCCATGTATTGAAAATACCAAATAATTTGGCACTTAGAACAGCAACAAAGAAAAAAAACAATAATATCACTTCAGAATGCTTCTAAGCAGTTTAGGTTCGGTGTACACAAGACGTTTCAAGGATAAAGAGCTGATAACTTTCGCCATCCAAGTGCTTTATTTTAAGGACGTTTTCTGAAGCTTCAGCCCATTCTGGGTTAAATAATCTTTCTTTAAACGAACGCGGAAATATTGGATACTTAACGCAAGTTATTTTGTCCGACGCCTTATCACTATGTCCTTCGATTTAACCACAACTCTCGACAGTAAATTAGCTCTCTTGCAATATGAAATATTATTTACAGGTAAAATTTTCAATGGTTCTTAACAAAAAATGAATTTCACTCTAATTGTCACAAGGATACAATGAATGGCTTCATTTAAGTTTTATGGTAGTTATTTTTTCTCTTCGGACAAATGCGAATAAAGATAACACATTTAACACAAAATTTCTAATAATTGCGAGCGTGAGTGAAAGTACAGTATTCTAAATGTCCCATTGCTTATTAGGGAGAGGAGGATTACTGTTCCATTGCCGATGCAACATTTCACCGATGTAACATTGTTTGTCGTTCAAACTTTCATTGTTTCACTAAAAACCTATTTTTAAGAAATCGTTCAAATAGTGCACTGGATTGCATTCAATTGTATAGTAGTTTCTCTACTATTTCCTTCCTAACAACATAGCATCAGAAATTCAAGAGAATTAAATTTTCGAATGTATTAAAATATAATAATTAGTTAAGGGAAGGGGTTCTTTTGGTTGAATATTCAAAAGTGCCTTCTTACCAGCAGGTTTGCCTTTAGATCTGTTCTCAGTAAAACAATGTTTCGTACAACGATAAACTATATAAAAAGCATGTCTCAAACCTAATTTGTTTAAATGTTTCTATAAGCTATATCAACGGAATATCCGTATTCGTTTTTATATTACTCGCAATTCGATGTAATTTTTCCAGTAATAATTCATAATTTCCATTATCACAACACGCACTGGCTGCCGGTTGCTGCACTTTTGGATGCCGCCAAATACTTCCAAAAGAAAACTTGCACAGACACCAAACACCCAAAAACTACTCCATCCATTTTATTTAAGAATCTCACCGGAGTCAACTAACTGAGAAAATTTCGACAGGGTATGACGTTCGGCTCAAATGACAACAAATTTCGAAAATAAACAAATAATCATTATATAATGAGACGTTTCCGTAAAATACAAGATTGCATAATAACGAAGTAAAATGAAACAACCATTCAGTACTTCCCAAGCAAGTGGGACACGTATCTGTCGGTCAAAGAGAACACTTACCTGCGAAGACACAATCTACCTAAAATGCCAAATACGTACATACTTCCAACATCCATGACTAGCAATCAGCTTATAAGGCCGACAAATACGATTATGTTAATGGATATATCACGCGTTCTGTTATATTTGCTACTTTAAATGCTTCTGAGAATTGAAAAAGAAAACTCAGAATATTTTTAAAACCTTGCCAGGTAGAGGGAGAGGGGAATGTACAAAACAATTTCTTACATTGGTTTCAGAAAATGGCGGCTCGGAGATGAGAGAGGAGGACTTCGTCGCCCATTTGAAATTTAAATCAGATACTCAAATAGTAGACGATGATTCCAGTTTTGAAGAACATCAGTGCTACAGGGGCCCTTTTACTGTGCACCTTCCTTTCTCGAGGTGGAGGTATGAGAGCTGAGTTAGTTACGGGGATTTTTCCCATGCTCGTTGGAGAGGCCTGAGTGTTGGATACGTACGTAGTTTGAGGGAGCACATCAGCGATATTGTGGCGTCTATCAAAACGATTTCCTAGTCGATTTCGCGAAATATTCAATGTTCAGTGCATGTTCAGTTCAATGTATTCAGTACTATCAATCGTAATCACTTACAGGGAAAACACTTAGATCTTTAAAATGGCGTTTCACAAATATAATACGTATTATTGCAAACAAAGCCTAATTGATACTAATTAAACCAATAAATAATACGTATAATAATCTTCAATGTTGGAAAACTACAATGAATGACCACTTCTCAAAATCATTAAGTAATAATAAGGAGAAATAGTGATAGAAATCTGTCACTAGTGAAAATTATGAGAAACTGTAATAAAATTGTTAAAACGTTGGGGTTGTTAAATAACGTTTAATTCTGAGATCATAC